CAGATTTGTCCAATGCAGTACATCTTTCTTTCTTTTTTTGTGTAGTGTTTCAGCAGAAATTTATAATATTTTATAAAAATATCCCTGTAGTTTTTATTTTTTACTTTTGTTGTTATTTGGGTGAAAATTTACAGAGTAAATTCATTTTCCATACAGCAATCCATACATATTTTGTTTTGTGACATTGATTGTAATTCCCCACAACGCAACATATCTCTTCCCACTTTCTCCCTGTAGTTACCTCTTCCCTATGTCCTTCCCTCCTACGCACTCCCACCCCAGTGCAAACACTGCCCTTCTATTCTCCCACGAGTACATCTACCCAACAGAAATGTTCACCCAATATGCCCACCTATTGTTTGGCTGGGAGCTCTGGTAGTGTAGTACCTAAGGCACTTGACTGCTAACCAGAAGGCTGGTGGTTCGAACCCACCAGCCACTCCTCAGAAGGACGTTTGGGCAATCTACTTCCATAGTGATACTGCCTCAGAAACCCAAGGAGGGGTTGCTATGAGTGGGTCCGACTCAACGGCACATAACAACAACAACAACATTGTTTGGCTGGAAGCCATAAGGATGAGTTCAGTTTCAGACCTGAAGGGTAACTAGGGACCATAGGCTCAGGGGTCTTACCAGGATGACATCTGATTTCTTGACTGCTGCTTCCATGGGTGTTGATTGTGGATCCAAGTAAGGTGAAATCACTGACACCTTCAATCTTTTCTCCATTTATCATGATGTTGTTTATTGGTCCAGTTGTGAGGGTTTTTGTTTTCTTTCTGTTGAGGCATAATCCATACTGAAGACTGTAGTCTTTGATCTTCATCAGTAAGTACTTCAAGTCATCTTCACTTCAGCAAGCAAGGTGGTGGTGGTTGTTGTTATGTGCCATCGAGTCATTTCCAACTCATAGCGACCCCTCCTTGGGTTTCTGAGGAGGTTCTCTCTATGGAAGTAGATTGGCCAACCTTCCTTCCGAGCAAGGTTGTGTCATCTGCATATCACAGATTGTAAACAGTATCCAATCCTGACGCTGTGATCTTTGTCATATAGTCCAGTTTCTCAGATTATTGGCTCAGCATATAGATTAGATAAGTATGGTGAAAGGATATAACCCTGACACACACCATTCCTGATTTTAAGCCATGCAATATCCCCCTGTTCTGTTCAAATGACAGCCTCTTGGTCTATCTACAGGCTCCTCACGAGCAAAATTAAGTGTTCTGGAATCCCCATTCTTCACAATGCTATCCATAATTTGTTATAATCCACACAGTCAAATGCCTTTGCTTAGTTAATTATACACAGGTAAACATCTTTCTGATATTCTTTGCTTTTAGCCAAGATCCATCTGCATCAGCACTGATATTCCTCATTCCATGTCCTCTTCTGAATCCAGCTTGAATTTCTGGCAGTTCCCTGTCAATATACTGCTGCAACCATTTTTAAATTATCTTCAGCAAAATTTTACTTGCTTGTAATATTAATAATATTGTTCAATAATTTCCACATTTGTTGTAATGGAAATTACAACAAATGCCATTGTATCACCTTTCTTTGGAATAGGCACAAATATGGATCTCTTCCAGTTGGTTGGTCCAGTAGCTAGCTTTCAAATTTCTTGGCAAAAACAAGTAAGCCACCACTCGTCTGACAGTTTGTTGTACTGTGTGCATATTGCTGGGAGGCTATGCCACTGGTCTTTTCAAATACCAGCGGGTCACCCATGGTAGACAGGATTCAGTGGAGTTTCCAGACTAAGACAGACTGGGAAGAAGGATGGGGCCATCCACTTCTGAAAAATTTGCCATTGAAAACCTTATGAATAGCAGTAAAATGGTATTTGATGTATTACTGGAAAATTTTATGAGTAACAGTGAAGCATTTCTTTGGAAAATAGTCTCATATTTTCCCCGACATTTTATTATGAAAATATTCAAACATACAGGAAAGTTTAAATAATTTTACAGTAAGCACTCACATAACACCATCTAGATTCTACCACTAACATTTTACTCTATTTTATGCTGTGTTTTTGTTGAGAGGTGATTAAGAGCATAGACCTGCCTGGATTCCCTGCTTGCACACTGTATGGCCTTGCAAATCACTTAATGTCTCTCAGTTTCAGTTTCCTTGTCTATAAAGTGAGAATAATTATAGTTCTGATCTCAAGGGTTGTTGTGATGATTAAATCAGTTGAAATATGTAATGCACTTAGAATACTCTATAAATATGAGTGTTAGCAATCACTGTAATTTAATTCTATTTTATAAAATGTTATTTTTATAAACTATTGATGTAAAACGAGCCCTGCTGTCTCAACGGTTAGGTGCTCAATGGTTACCGATGCTGGTAGGTTGGCGGTTTGACTCCACCAGCTGCTTTCAAGGAGAAAGATGTGGCAGTCTGCTTCTGTGCGGGTCTGCAGCCTAGGAAAACTTATGGGGCAGTTCTACTCTATCCTCTAGGGTCACTATGAGTTGGAATCCACTTGATGGCAGTGGGTGGTAGGTACTTACGTAGAAGAATATTTGGAATGATGCAGTTTTATTTGTTTAAGGGGAAAAAAACCCAGCAATAAAACAGCACGTACAGAATGACACTTTTATAGAAAACTTTAAAATGCATGAAAAATGTGTGTGTGTGTGTGTGTGTATGTGTTTGTGTAGAAAAGGCCGTGCACCAAATATTAACAATGATTATCTCTGTCTAGTGAGATTAGGGGTAATAATTGTTTTATTTATTTTCTGGCATCTCAGAACTACAAGAAAAGCAGTAAACCAAGAAATTTTACTGAATGCTAAAAACAAAAACAAAACCTCGAAACTAACAAAAACTTATCCGATAGTGGTATACTTTTAATAAAACGCTGGACTTCATTCTTTTTCCACATTCATATTATTAACTCAAAACAGTGTGGATTCTTTTATACTACTCACTACCATCCAGTCGATTCTGATTCATAGCAACCCTTTAGAGCAGAACAGAACGGCCTCATAGTGTTTGCAAGGCTGTAAATCTTTACCGAAGTAGACTGCCTCATCCTTCTCCCAGAGCGAATGGTAGGTTCGAACCGCTGACCTGTTAGTATCCCAAAGCTTTAAGCACAAAGACACTAGAGCTCCTTACACTAATGTTTCAACACCAAAATGAGTGACCGGTCTTTCTCTTTTATCAAGAGTTTCAAATCTCCACAAAGAAACAGTATCACTCATAATCTCGGTAGAAGAAAGTGATCTCACTTGATTATCTCTGCAGAAACAAAAAAAAACAGGTTCCGTCGGCTTTCGCAGGAGCAGGTGGTTCAAATTGAGTTCGGATATCACGATGGCACCAAGGAGCTAGGGCTGCAGCTATTGACCAAGCATGCTGAAAGGCCCTTCCGAGTTGGGACAGGATTCCCGCGGAGGACACTGGGAACGATGTTCAGAGGACGCTGTCGCGCAGGCGCACCGGGTTCTCGGCGGCCCGCCGCGGCACTACGTGGGAGTATCGCTGCTCTCTGCTTCGCGCTGTGCTAAGATTATCCGTCCGCGGCGGGAGGGCGAAGCTGTGCGGTCCGAGCCACTTGAGAGGGGTGAGTGAGAGGCTTTCCGGGGTTTGGGGAGAAGAGCGAGCAGGGAAGCACTAGCCCCACCTCCGCTTGCGGTTACACCGTCTCTTTCGGTGCGCCCAGCGGCCCCGGAGTTGGTCTCAGACAAAGGCCCCGAGGTCAAGACTGGGCCGGTCCAGTCTCGGGACAAAGTTTTATCCTCACCTTTTAGAGAGGAGGAAACCAGAGTAGAGGAGTTAGGTGACTTGCCACGGTTAACAAGTGAAGGAGCTGGGATTCAAACCCAGACCCTTTTTTTATTCCAATTCTGATATTATTTTAAACATCAAACTCTAAAAACTCACTGCGGTGGAGTCGTATGATTCATAGCGACTCCTCATTGGGTTTCCGAGACGGTATCACTGTGGAATTAGATTGACCAATCTTTCTGACTAGGAGTGGCTGGTGGGTTTGAACCGCCAGCCTTCTGGTTAGCAGTCAAATGCCTCTTAGGCACTATGCCACCAGAGCTCTTATTTTAAACATAATACTGCTAAAATCAAATAATTACAAATTACTCATCTCTTTATGTTCCGTGACCCCAACAGTATTTTGGACCATGTGGGCTGTGAATATCTATGGTCTTCACATATTTTTTTGTAAATTTTTTTCAGTGATTTGTGCAGTTCCTTAAATTCTGACTGTGTGACTGAATCTTCTAGGTCCATAGTTGGAGCAAACCAGTTGTGCTCCACAACTACTTAACCTAAAGGTTGGCAGTTGAACGCACGCAGGGCTGAGGAAGAAAGGCCTGGCCATCTGCTTTCTTAAAGATTCCAAAAAGCAAACCAAACTCACTGCCATCAAGTCGATTTTGACTCATAGTGATCCCCATTAGGTTTCTGAGGTAGTAAATCTTTATGGAAAGAGATTGCCCCATCTTCCTTCTGTAGAACGGCTGGTGGTTTTGAACCACTAACCTTCTAGTTAGCAGTCAAATGCCTTAGGCACTGTGCCACCAGAGCTCCTTACTCCTTAAAGATTACAGCCAAGAAAATCCTGTGAAGCAGTTCTACTCTGCAACACATTGGATTTGATGGCAACTGGTTTGGTTTTGACTGAGCCTTCTAGATCCTTTTTGCTGACTGTTATATTTTCTACCCAGCATCTCCAAAGGTGGCTGCTCATTATGAATACTTGGAGCCTCTGGCTGCCTGCTGAGGAAACAGAGGGAGCCAGGCTGGGAGATGTTCCTTGAGAGCCACTGATTAAAATAGTTCAGACCCCAGACTTTGGCACTGTGTGGTAGAAGACAAGAGGAGCAAGAGTTGATGATCGGAGGAGACCATACATCTGTGATACCTGGATCCAGCCAGAGGTTCTGGCAGTTTCCTTATCAGAAGTGTACAAGACCAACCCTCCCCTGTGGGCTGAGACCAGAGAATCCCTTGGGAGTTTGGGCTTCATCATGCTGCAGCAGCTCCTGATCACTCTCCCCACCAAGACCAACACCTGGGTGAAGTTGCACCATCCCAAGAAGACCAAAGAAGGGGCGGCCCTGTGGGAGGATGTGACTAAAATATTTGAAGGAGAAGGTGAGAATTGGGCTGATGGGTAGGAGAGAAGAATGGCAGCCTCCTTGTGTGAGAAGGAAGGTAGACACCTGGGTGGAAGCAATTCTTAGGGAGATAATTGGGGAAAAGAAGGGCTCTAGAGTTCTTGATTATGGCTCCTGCTCTGAGGTTTTCCTGGACAGTTGTGGTTATTGTAGTCTAAAACCAATATTTCAGCATCATGGCTGTTACTTTTCATCTTCCCCATGGGCATGTGGAGCAGGGAGGACTTGCCTGATTATCCTTATTTTGCAGTGAGGAAATGTGAACCTGCCCAGGGTCACACAGGTACTTTGATACAAGTAGAGGACAGCAGGGATATTACCAGGTGAGCCTAGATTATTTTATGCCAGAAAGCAAGGAAGAACTCAAAGACTTACAGGAATTTATCAAAAGAATGCAGGAGTCAGGTTCAGGGGGACAAATTTGGGACGGCTAAATTATACCCACCAGCCACTCCTCAGAAGGAAGGTTGGGCAATCCTACTTCCGGAGTGATACTGCCTCGGAAACCCAAGGAGGGGTCGCTATGAGTCGGGGCCGACTCGACGGCACATAACAACAACAACAACAAATTATCCAAATTGATTGTGATATCTTGAATAAATAAAATTTCACAAATGCATAACAATACTTAAAATAGAGAAAGAAAGGGGAAAAAACTAGTTTGTCAGCATTGTAATATACCAGTTTCTTACTCTGAAAATAGATTATGGGAATGACTGGTACATCTACCCTGCTTTTTAGTTCATCTTCCATTGGTGAGGGAAAGCACTTTGCAGAAAATACCTGCCAGTAACTGTTGAAGGAATGGTAGAATATTTCACTGTAAATAAAGTAATTGAGAGGTTGGTTGAGAACGAGATATTCACATGTGTGTCAGAGTGTTGCCCCCCACAGATGACTTGTAATGCAAAGGAAAGAGCATATTTTTCCAGTGGTGGGATCTGGTGATCTCCATCTTAACTAAGTATCCCACTGTGGGACAGGAGATGGAGATAAAATAAACCCCACCATGAGGATACAATCAGACTGCTTTGTTATCTTAAAAGTTAATGTCATGAAAAAAAACGGAAGTACTCTTCTAGAATAAAAGAGTCTAGATATAACAACCAATTTGGATATATGAACCACATTGGTTCCTGGTTTAAAAAAATCCAGAATAAAAGACAGTTTGGGGATAATAGAAATCTGAATATGGACTGAATATTTAGATGACACTGTGTTAATTTTCTTAGGTGATATAAATGGTACTGTGTTTATATGGTAGGAGTTGATCCTTATTTGAAGTATTCAGGGGTGAAGTATCATATGTCTGCAACTTTGAAATAACTCAGAAAAATATAGGTAGGTAAATATGACAAAATGTTAATGATTGAATCTAGATTTATGGGTGTTCAGTGTTCTGTTAAAAAATTGTAAACAAATACAAGGACAACAATTCATGTACTTTAATTCCTAATTTATATTTTTAATACCTCAAATTCAGTCAATATTTCTTTAATTCTACCAGTCTCACAGCATATTATGCTTAGCACTTAAGCAGATCAAAAAAAAAGTAAGCCAAATCCAGTTCTACCCATATACTCATACTCAATTAAGGGAGATAACTATACAAATAAAAAGAGGCAGCCTGAGATAAATGCCACAGTAGGGAGAAAAAACTAAGCTTTTAAGAAGTCCATAGGAGAAGAAGTCGTGCTCATTAAGGGTGCCTGAGAAAACTTCGCTTGAACTGGCCTCGAAGGATATCACTCAGTTTTTCACCAAGTAAGACTTAATGAAAAGTACTGAGGTGGATACTGTCAAAGTAGTTTGATTTTACTGAAGGTTAGGATATGTGTGGGTGTTTGTGTTTAGTAACTAGCAATGTCATTTAGAAGGAAATAACACTTAGAATAGCTTTGGCCTGGTTGTGGAGGGTCGTGAAGTCCATGGTGAAGTGTTTGGATTTTTCTTTCTTTTTAGTGGGGAACCATTCAGGCTTTTTGAGCAAAGGAGTGACCTGATAGATCTATGCTTCTGGACCAGCATTGACTGTGGGGCAATAGTGATGCCCAGAGCAGCGTGCTGCAGGTCTTCTTCATTGAAGAGGCTTCAGGCTGCTATTGTCCCTCTAAATATCTCTGTCATTGGGTGTATTGAGGAGGAGCCACACTCGGTGGGTCTGCAGGCAGTTTTTCTATTTGGAGGTTTTGAGAGAAGCAAATCTCATGGCTCTTTTCCTTCTCCAGCTTTGCTATCTGAGGATGCAGATGAGACCCAGGGAGAAAGTTTAGAGAATAAAGTGACCCCTAGGCCCCCAACGGCAGGATACCAGGTAGGTTGGAATTTCCTGTCACTTTCTTGTTCCTCAGATTTTAGGAGCCCTAGACTTTGATGTTCTTTGACTTGGCTTCCTGGAAATCAGGCCACTTGAATTGACTTCACAAGTAATTCCCCCCATTGGTGGTGACCTCTTTCAGCAACGCTCATGTGCCTAGCCAAACCCTGTCTATTTATTCATCAAATTTAAATATTGTGCCAGTACTGGAGTTATATGTGAAAAAAAAGTACACTGTACTTTTTGCCCTTAAAAACACATGGATATCATCTGGGGGAAAGGCAAATTAAAATATTTTAAACAATATTTTAAAATGAACAGTCAGGTTCTGATATTCTTAGAAATATATATATTTCCCCAATGACTTTTAAGAGAGGACTTTTGATTAAGTCCTAGCATAGATCTCAAAACTGTAGTTGAAAAGAGCAATGAGTAGAGAAACTACTGGCAGGTCATGTAGGGCACAAACTAAACAGGCTGAGCAGAACAGGAAGGAAAACTTCAAAGAGCAATTTTACAGTTTGTTATGTATCATAAATAAGCTAAGCAAAAAACCAGTAGTACTGACAAAACTATCACTACCAAACCCGAGAAGCATAAGAGAAACAAGAGGGAAATTATAGTCGGAGAAAGCCTGTATAGAGGGTGTTGAGGATTGAACTGCATCCTCCAAAAATACGTGTTGTAAATCCTAACCTCCGTGCCTATGGTTATAATTCTGTTTGGGAATGAATTTTCTTTGTTATGGTAATGAGATAGGAATAGTGTAGGGTACGTCTTGAGTTAATCCCTTTTGAGATATAAAAGAGATGATGGAGGAAAGAAAGATGCCAAGCCACATGGAGATCCCCAGGAGAAGCTCAGATATAAGGACCTTCCTTCAGAGCTTATAGAAGGAAAGCCTTCCCCTAGAGCTGGCACCCTGAATTCAGAATTCTAGCCTCCTAAATTGTGAGACAATAAATTTGTTTGTTAAAGCCACCCATTTATGGTATCAGTTGTAGTAGCACTACATAGCTGAGACAGATTATAGAGAACCAAAGAGTTTTAAAATGGAGTGATGCTGGTTTCCAAAATCACGTAGTATAGGATTTAATTTTATGTGTTCAACCTTACTTCCATTTCTTCATCAGTTAAATATGGATGCTAATGTCAGCCTAATAGGCCTGACTGAAATGCATTCTAGAATGATTTACAGTACATAAGAAGTTTTAAAATACTCTCTATACTGAATGAATTTGTTATTATCTCAGCATTCTGACACTTCTACAAATTCCAGTAGCTGATGTATCTCTTTGAAATGGGAGTGTTTTGTCTTTTTTAAAAAAGCAGTCATGAAATGGTAATTTGTGCAGATCACACATAAAAAGTTCTCATCATACTGTACAATAAAGAGTGTCTGCTTTGGTCAAGGGATCTTCTATACTAGGCAGAATTCATGCTTCCTTCTAATACTTTGCTGTCTCATACTTTTCTTGCTAACAGAAATACCCAACTAAGAATTCTTACTAGCTTGTTCTGACTTTAACCAATTTTTTCAGGCCAACAAAGTCTTATCTTCTCTGATGGCCTTAGCCCCTTCTGAGTTCTCCCCTTTCTCACATAGTCTGAACTTTGTTCTCTAAATTACCATATACTGCTCTGTGACCTTCTTTAGTAATTCATGAGTATTTTCCCTTTAACCAAAATTGTCAGTTGGAAAAGCAACTTATATGCTGTGTGCATCGTTTTATAACTTCCAGCTGAAAATCAGCCAAACAGTTATTGAGGAATATCCAGGAAAACTTGACTGGGATCTCTCAGCATCTAGCCAGGGTCAGAACAACTTGCTAAACTCAGGCTGAAAAGGATCATATTTGATATTCTAGGAACTGTTAACCTTCAAGGACATATCTGTGGACTTCACCCAGGAGGAGTGGGGGCAGCTAGCCCCCGCTCACCGGAATCTGTACCGAGAGGTGATGCTGGAGAACTATGGGAACCTGGTCTCAGTGGGTAAGAATGGGTTCCTTTTGTAACTAGAACATGCCTTTTGAAGATAATATTTATTTCTAAAGTAAATGTTATGCTTGGTCTTTGGGTTCTATATTAGAGGTTTCTGATTTCCTCTGAATACCAAGTCAGAATTGCTGTGGTCCTTTCTGCCCTGGTCCTTCTACTCTATCCTTCAGAGGGCCTGAACACCAAAGGACTTTGGAAATTCTTGGGATGTCTCCTTGAGCCCAGCACATACAGTCTTTCTTTCCTCCATGAGCAGGATATCAACTCTCCAAACCTGGTGTGATTTCCCAGTTAGAGAACGGAGAAGAACCATGGCTGACAGAAAGAGAAATTTCAGGAGGTCCAAGTTCAGGTAAGACCAAGGCAGATGGGGTCTTTGTGATGTTTTTCAGAGGATTCCCCTCAAAGCCTTCCCCAGGCTTTGTGGGTGGCTAAAGCCATTTGGCCGTGGACACACAGGAACCACCATCTCTAAAACCACCATGCCTGTTACTTCTTCCTTTTACTTGCATCTTTTCATTTAAAGTCTCTCTGAAGTCAGAGGGAAAGAGGTGACTTTCTCTTTAAAGTTAACCCTCTACATCATTTTTCCTGACTATCATAATTTTCCCTCTTTTGCTAGCAGTCAGACCATGGCCTGATCAAAGTTTCTTTCCCCTGTGTATTCAGATATACATGAGATTCTCATTATATCTATACCTTTCACTGGATTCTCATGTCACTTTCTCTTATTTATTCCATTTTTAATTTTTGGTGCATCTTGTTCTGTGATTACAACCTCAGTTCTGATTCTCTTTTTAATTTGTATAATTCAACTTTTTGTACTAGATTTTACGACTCTTTAAGAAATCACTACAGAATACCTTCTTACCAAATCCAATGGCTTTTAACAGTCTCATTCAACTTCTAAGAACAATAATATTGTTGTTGCTAACTGCTGTCAGGTTGGCCCCCAACTCGTGGTGACCCCATGCACAACAGGAATGGACCGTGGTGATCCACAGGGTTTTCATTAATTGATTTTCAGAAGTAGCTTAATAGGCCTTTCTACCTAGTCTTGTCTTAGTTTGGAAGTTCTGCTGTTGAGCATCATAACAGCATGATAGAACAGTGCTGGCTGCACTTAAGGTGCATTGGCTGGGAATCAATCCTGGGTCTCCCACATGAGATTCTACCACTGAGCCACCAGTGGTCCCAAGAACAATAATAATGACAGCTATATATTGACCTGACCTCTCTCTTTGAGGTCTTATGCCTGCATTAATCCATTTTACAAATGAGGAAAAGAAGGCTCAGCTCATAGGTTAAGAATGTTAATACAGTCACTTAGCTTCTATCTGGTAGAGTTTGTATTTGAATTCCAATCATTCTGATGCCATAGTTTGTGCTCTTATGGTGCTATTCTACATGGTTGCATTAGGTTATGCAGATCTCACACCTTCTTGGGATTCTTTCCTCAACCAGCTAGTTTAATAACTTACATCTTTTCTGTCACTTCTTTTGGTTTTTCATTGCTTCTGATCACTATCCTTTTTAATGCAGACATGTCATTTCTGCCTTTGTTAAGATAGGCTAACCTACTGTAACAAGTAGACTACAAACTGGCTCAAACAGGAGTTTGTCTCTCACTCATATAGTTGTCTGGGGGAATTGTTTAGATCAGTGCACAATTTTTCTCCAGCTGGCAATTCGGGAACCCAGCCAGTCATGTTGTGGCTATACCATCCTCACGGTGTCCTCATCATCTACATTTAGCCAGAAGTAGAAGAGCACAGATAAGCTAGTTTGGGAAGTTTTTATGAGCATGGCCTGAAGTGGTTCATATCACTTTTACTCTTGCTCCCGTATAGGAGAGACTTTCATCACTTCACTCAACCAAATATAATGGAGATTGCAAAATACATCTAGTGTGTATCTAAAAATGGGGAGAACAGATTTCAGTGGACGGCCAGCAGTCTGCCACAATCACTGCAGAACCTCCCTTTTACACTATTATTCTATTTCTATACAAACTCCCATCAATGCACTCTGATGGTTTTAACTACCCTTTCAATACCTGTATTTTACATATTTTTATCTTGGTCTTATATACTCATATGAACTCTACTCCCACATGTTCTTGGCATTTAGGACACTTTTATATAGATGGGCTATTGTTACTTCAGACCCAGAATATCTGAAAAATGAAAACAATCTTCTGTACAAAACAAAGTTCTCATCCTAATTTCTCTGTTCCAAGACTAGAAACCATGGTATCAGCAAGGATGTGTTATGTTTTTGGTACTCAGTCTTTCCCTCATTCCCAGTGGTTTATTCTTTGACATAACCTTTTAGATCTACTTCTACCCTTCATCTCTGTTGGTGCTAAGCCAAGTTTACATCATCTCATGCCTGAATTACTAAAATTTATAGTTGCATTTGTCAATGTCTTTTCTTTTTCTGACTCATCTTGAATGGTACTGCCAGATTTGATCACTTAAAATAACAGTTTATCACGTTCTTACTCTGAAAAGTGATTCCTTTTCTCTGCAGTAAGTAATATAAACATCTGTTTACTGTTTAATTCTACTCCAGAATTTCTCCAGCAATTAACTGAGTATTTTCTATGTGTTATTGATAAAGTGAAGTTTAGAATCCTGGGACATAGAATTTTGCTGTGAAAAGCCTTCAGCCAAAGCTCATACCTCATACCTTATGCCACATCAGAGAATTCATACTGACAAGAAACTCTGAATGTAAGCATTGTAGCAAAACCTTCAGACATCTTTCAACACTTACTAAAAAAAAATGATGCTTTAGAAGTAGTAGGGTCCAGAATGAATGGATAGGAATGGAAAGAGTGAAAATCAGGGAAATTCATTTCTCTGAAAATGTGCCAAGTCTCCTATGGATCAAAAAAGTTGTCTCTGTCCTCAAATATTTTACAATGTACTTAATATTTTGTCTCAAAAGAAGAGATAATTTTCTGCCTCTTTAAAGGCAGTATTATGAAGATTGATCCAGTAAGTATGCGGGGAAAGCCACCCCCATTCATTGAGTGCACATACCTTTCAACCCAACAATTCCTCTTTAGTAATAAGCCTATAAAACACTGATGAGAATGTATAAGAATTTATGTATAATGATACGGATTGTGGTGTGATTTGTAATAATGAAAAGTTGGAGACAACCTAAATATATCTCAATAGGGAAAAGTCAAATTATGGGATGTCCATGTAATAAAATACAAGGTAGTTGTTAAAAAGAAGGAAATAAATCTAATTATATAGACTTGGAAGGAAGCACATAAGATAGTTGAGTTAAAAAGCAAAAAGATAAGAGAACTGTGTGTATACCATGATCTTTTTTTGTACAAATGTATATTTATAACCATGTATACACAAATGCACACATTCACATATGCATATTGTTGGGAGATATTTGTGTTAGTTACCTAGTGCTACTGTGACAGAAATACCACAGGTTGACAGCTTTAATAAACAGCAATTTGTTTTCTCATAGTTTAGGAGACTAGAAGTGCAAATCAGGGTGCCAGCTGTAGGCTTTCTCCTGATGGCTCTGAGAGAAGGACCTTGTTTGCCTTCAGTCCCTGGGCAATCTTCATGTGGCTTGGCGTCTCTCTTCTCCCATCTTTGCTTGCTTGTTTAATCTCTTGCATCTTAAGAGAGATTGACTCAAGATACACCTGCTGAAAGGGCATGAAGGCAGCATCTGACCTCCACTAACTTCATAAGGAGAAAGGAAGATCCAGAACAACATCAACAGCCCAAGGCTCATTCCCATGAGGCAGAGGTCAGGCATGCTACCACCCTCTAGCTCTTTTACCAATTCTGACACCAACTGTCCCTCCCAATAATCACTCTCTACTTCTCTGCTGGGTTTGATAATTCATTGCAATGGCCACACCCAACTCACAGACAATACTCATGATTATGCGGTTTATTAGGGAAGTAACTGGTTACAATTCAGGATCAGAAACAAGTCAGGGTACAGTTCTTCAATTAGGACAGCTTCTTCTCAGCCATGCTCAGGAACACTTCACTCCAGCCTCAGCCTCTGACCTACTTGGACAACTGTTACAAAACTCTTTTAGTTCTTCCAATAGGTGCCCAGAGAGGCACCCCACTCCATCAGCAAGCCACCTTGCCTGAAGGCACTCAGCTTTCTCACTCCATGGGCTAGGAAGTCTGCTGCTCTGTCTCATGCCAGTCTCTTGGTTCTCTTCGTTCTGCTGCCTCTGCTGCTGCCATCTCAGGGCAGGGATCTCAGGTCCAAGGATATGCTCGACTCCTGGCTTTTCACTCTTAATGATTGTGAGAACCCCATCCCTCTTTCTGCCTCTGGGATGGCTCATTTTAAGCCTAGCAGGATGGCAGAACTGACCATTCCCCACATGACAGTTCTGTAGACTTTATTTGCACAGTCTCGCTCACACAAGGATGCTGTGTACATTATTTACATTATTAGCAAGCTATCTAATCCTCTTGGTGGGTCATAGCACCTCTTACCTTTTGCATGGTCCATCCACTTATCTGGTGGGAGTCACAAAGACCATGACTAGAAGAACCATATTAAGTAATTTACTGCACTGTAACACCCTATACTGATCCTGACTAATTAATATAACAAAGACAAACCATTCTCCAATGAGATTATAACCACAGGCATAGAGGTTAGGATTTACAACACATATTTTGAGGGACATAATTCAATCCATAATATTTCACCATTTGGCCCCCAAAATTCATGTCCTTCCCACATGAAAAACACATTCACCCTGTCGCATCATCCCAAAAATCTTAAATCAACCTCAAGTCCCAAATCTCATCTTTTGAATCATCTCAATCTAATCTAAGTCTTCACATGTATTCCGTCTTGGGGCAAAATTCCTCTTCATCTGTGAACTCTCTCAACTACAAATTACCTGCTTCCAAAGTACAATGGCAGAACAGGCACAAGGTAGACATTTTGATTGCAGATAGAGAAATTGGAGGGAAAGAGATAACAGGCATCAAGCAAGTTCAAAACCAGTCAGAAGAATTTTCATTAGCCCTCAAAGTTTGAAAATAATCTGTTTCTGAGACCATTTGGATAATGGCCCTGCCATCCAGATTCTAGGTTGGCCACACCCTCTGGATTCTGGGTAGAGGCCCTCTGGCCCTGGGTTTCAACTTTGTTCCAGGCCCACTGGGATAGCAGTTCTGCTCCCTCAGCTTTGGGTGGCCCCATTTTCCTGATCCATCTGAGTGGAAAGCCCTCTCCCTCAGGTCTGGAAGGCCCTGTTCTTCTGCTCCTTGGACATGGTAGCCCCTTCTTCTCAGATTGGGTGGCCTCATCCCTCTGGCATACCTTAACGGCAGCCCCACACTCCAGAACTGAGTTGGCGAAGATCCGCCTCTGAAACCTAGGAGGCTATGGCTCCACCTTTTGAGATCCAGGAGACTGTGCCCTACCCTTTGAAACTGAGAAGGCCCTGCTCCCATGCTCCTTCCAGCAGTTCTGCTGATCTCCGTGCTGCTCCTCTCTTGGAGGACAGCAGATGTAGGCCTGTTTCCTACCTGTAGAATTCTTTCTTTTCATTCTTTCTCTATCCCCTTTGGTCTAAACTGATGGGTTTTCCATTGTAGTAGTTGGTTAGATCCAACTGCTTAATCTTTTTAACAAAAGATTATGTAGCCACATCCTTGGTGAACATTGTAGGACATGGATCCTTAGTTTGTACAACAGAATTTTCCAATTTTTTTTTTTTTTTT